TTGATGCGCTAGACGAATGCTTACCGAAGCATCTGCCCAAACTGCTGGAGTCGCTGAGGGATATTGTCCGGGAGTCCCCTAGGACGCGAATATTCCTCACGGGCAGGCCTCATGTGAGGGAAGATATTCAAAGATATTTTAGCAAGGCGGTTGTAGTACCCATCAGTCCTACCATGGATGACGTTAAGAGTTATTTGGAGATGAGGTTGGACGAGGACGCCGATCCAGAGGCGATGAACGATGATTTACGAGCGGATATTATGGAAACTATCCTGGAAAAGGTATCTGATATGTAGGAGCATTTACCATCCCCATTCTATCATTCGCCAATACTCACCCACCATTGCGCGCAGATTCCTCCTTGTTTCGCTAAACCCCGACGCTATTCTGGGAGAGGTGACAATTCGTCAGAGAAGGAAGAAACTTGAAGAGATGACAAAGGGCAATGGACTGAGTGATGCCTACACGGGAACTCTAGCCCGAATGAAAGCGCAGAAGGGAAACAAACCGATACTCGGATTGAAGGTTCTGATGTGGGTGTTGTATTCGGAACGGCCATTACAGGCCGCGGAACTCTGTCATGCCTTAGGAGTGGAGGTGGGATCTGCTGATCTGGATGTCGAAAACGTTCCTGGATTACGGACACTCCTAAAATCTTGTCTGGAGCTTGTCACGGTTGAGGCGTCCTCGTCCACTATCCGGCTTGTGCACTATACTCTGCAGGAGCATCTCTCAAACTTTTCTCGGCTCCCACAACGATGCCACTTCTAGAATATGCTTCTCTCTACTGGGGGGAGCACATTAAAAGGGGCATGACGGAAAATGTCCAGATGCTTGCATTGAGACTTCTGAATAAATTTGATGAGCATATATCTGCTCAGCTAATTTTAATGCGTCTTTATAGAGATAAGAGCCCTTGTTTTAATGCAAAGGGAGGACCTGTCGGATTCACAGGGCTCCACGGAGCAGCATTTCTCGGGATCGTGGGGGTAGTTAGTACAATATTGAAGATAAAGGAATGGGACGTTAATGCAAGAGATAGCACAGGGAGTACAGCTCTCACATGGGCAGCAGTAAGAGGGCATGAGGAAGTGGTGAAGGTGCTGTTGGATCAAAGGGATGTCAATCCCGACCAGGCAGACACCTTTTATGGCCAGACGCCACTCTCGTGGGCCATTGAGAACGGGCATGAGGGGGTAGTAAAGATGCTTTTAGAACGAGTGGATGTCAATCCCGACCAGGCAGACACCCCTTATGGCCAGACGCAGACGCCACTCTCGTGGGCCGTTGAGAACGGGCATGAGGGGGTAGTAAAGATTCTTTTAGAACGAGGGGATGTCAATCCCAACCATACAGACACCAAATATGGCCAGACGCCACTCTCATGGGCCGCTCAGAGCGGGCACGAGGGGATAGTAAGGATGCTTTTAGAGCGAGGGGATGTCAGCCCAGACCAGGAAGACATATATGGCCGGACGCCACTCTTGTGGGCCGCTAGGAATGGGCACGAGGGGGTATTAAAGATGTTTTTAGAACGAGGGGATGTCAATCCCGACCAGGCAGACACCGAATATGGCCAGACGCCACTCTCGTGGGCCGCTGGGAATGGGCATGAGGGGGTAGTAGGGATGCTGTTGGAACGGAAAGATGTCCACGCCGCCATCCCAGATAGCACAAACCAAACACCACTATCGAGGGCTCTCTCTAAAGGACATTCTGGAGTCGTAAGGATGCTGCGCGAACGGGACAGTGCCAATATTCACCCCTAATGGCAGACCCGATGAGCGGGAACCTGAGCCGGACCCCAGTGACTCCCTTTCCTTTCCACAGTAGTAGCCTTCCCTCAACTGAGCAGTCCAGGCTGCCTCGCCCCCCCCCCCATGCGGCCCCCAAGCTTCTGGTACCTTCCCAGGAAGGTTGAAACCCACCCAACAACACTCGATAAACTCTCTCACTTGCAACCGACCGGTAGACCCGTATTTTGCCTCTTTCGTTTGTCTTTTGGCTTTTCTCGTTTACATTCTTCCCCCTTACCTGAAATACCCCCGATCCATAAATGACTGCCGAGCAATATCCTCTCCTTCCTTGTTCTTCATTCCTATTATTTTTTAATATTTGTCTTATCTTTTTCTGTGTGGCAGTGTATAGTACGGCGCATTACAGGCAATGGGTAGGAATAGACTCGGTTTTAAGACGCTCGTCTTATATATTCGCAAGCAGTTTATCCCCCTCCCACTAGTTCCTCTCAATACCGCCAAGTGATCGCCATCGGTTTCCCTTGCAGACCATCTGTCAATGTGTGACACCAATGCTAGTTCCGCTATATCCCATCACCGGAGGTGCCCAAATCCGCGAAACGAAACCCTAACCTTGGTGCTCTCAACATGCCCGCTCCTGATATCATACCAGCGAATGACCATGCTTATGGCACCGAGGGGCGAGAATAGGTCTTGTGCAGTCTAATCTACCGGTATTGCGCAGAAAGTACAGTAGCCACCGTACCCCAGATCTATTATGCCCCTCTCACAGTGCTATCAGAGTGAGACATAGATTACTCTGTCCCCAAACGATCCTATGATTTACCCACCCCTCCCCCCGGGATTTCCAGCGGCTCTGGCAAGAGAACTTCGCAAGACCGGAGCAATGGCTCCCGCGAGCAGGAGGGAGGATATCGAACGTGAGTTTATCCGGGCAAGCGGATATAAAAGGTTAGGAGAACCTCACACGTACCGGCTCACTTCTAGGAATGAGGCGGATATCAGCGACTTGTAAAGGGCATTTTGCGCGGTGTATGATACTGTACAGTGCCGGTAGTCCATCATACTCGAGCACGATCCCTCCGCAGGGGTGTTGGCGATGCGGCCCAGCCAGCCAGTCAGCAACCCCGAGTAATTACCCCAGCAACCTTCGAAGAGTGGTCCAGAAGGGATGGCCGGAGGCCATCGGTTGGACACTATTCGTCGGAATAGGAATAAGAAGTCCCTAAAGAGCCTGAACCCCCCCAACACACAAATCAGATGTTAAGGAATTATAATAAAAAAGAAAATCTAATATGACATTTCGATTACAAGTACTGTGATATTCCTTAGCTTCTATTCTAACCGCAAACTGTTTTTGTCATGGAAAGCCACAACTTCTTGAGAAATTCTGGCCTAGTAGGAGGGGAACCACTCACTCTTAAAGTGGTTTTTGCCGCTGTTTTTTGGCATCGCGAGGGTGGGTGGACAGGAAAGTGTACGCTCTAGCTCTTGTATTTATTTAAACAATTTACGGGTATGTTTACCACGATGTGTCAGATTTTCACGAACACTTTTGAGCATGGTAGTTTACGGACTGTAGACCATTCACGATGCTGACATCACCACCACCGCCCCAAGATATGTTTACTACTCCTACCTACAAATCGAGCAGTTTTTATCAAACGTATGAAAATTCGACGCTAGAATTGCCGCTGCGAGGGCTACACCCAGGAGATCCAGTTAACGCCCCCGGATAGCATAGCGCACACAATGGGTATCGTTAACAGATGGAACCTAAGACTCCATCTTTAGGTATGATACTATGGGAGGAATATTCATAATTCAAGCCTGAGGGGATTTTCTTGATATCCAACGCCGTAGGCAAATTTATATTGAACGTGTGTACGGTTCTCGAAATGGGAATAGGAAGGTATGTGGGGAAAGACTAAGCATGAGTGACCACCCAAGCCATGCGGCCGTGTCCAACCTGAAGACCGCCATCCTGAAGACCGCCGTCTTGAGATACCTCCGGCTACACGGACCACAGGAGGCCCCCGCTCAGTCCCACCACCGGGCCCAATAGGGCGCCCGTTCAGTTGGGAACATCGCCAATCTAGGTAATGCTGAGTCACTCCTTCCGTGTGGGCCTTCCCAGACGCTGCAGCGGCAAAATGGCCGTTGATCAAGAAACCTCCGAGTTCATCTGATCCACGCTGACTTGCGAGAATATCCGTGATCGCGCCGAGCTCCCTTTCACAGTGCCTGGTGTATTATTAGAAGACTTGTCGCATGGTTTGCCCCTCAATCGGTGGATCTCCCGCTTAATATCTAAACCCCCATACCAAGATCTTCGCTTCCCGGGAATCTCCCAGCTTTTAGAAGACGAGGGAGAGGTGATTAAATTGTCTGGGGAATTACTTGCCCTTATGATCCTAAGACGGGATCCTTACCACCTACAATATCTGCAAAGATTGTGTTGTAGACGGTAGGGGAACACGCAGGGGAAATTTCAGCGAATCCCAACAGAGGGGGTGCTACCCGCGCCAACTTCTCGAGTCGGTAGTTGAGAACTTGGAGGTGTGGATTCGCTAATAGACCAACCTGATTTCAACCCCAGTACATAGTATATCCTCCCTCAAAGACTCCTCGCTTTTTACCCGCCGTGTCATGAGGAACATGCGAATGATTAAGCTCTGACCTCCCCCCCACTTTATCCCCACGCCTTGAAAACGGAGGAGTCGTGAAGTTCCCTTCGACGTGGCTCCACCGGGCAGTAATCCCAACTCGATGGATAGGTAGATAGCTATGGCGAGATACCGCTGAGTCAAGCTCCAACACGCAGACATCAGGGAATAACAGAGCCCTACAGCCATATAGTGTTTTGGCCGATTTACCGCTACAAAATGGTTAGGATGACAGCTGTGGGGAATGGCAGTTCTGGGGAAAGGTGAGAGTTGGAAAGAAGTTGGAGAAGCCACCGGTTGGGGGATAACGTATGATTAAGCAGTGGTTGTCCACGGATGAGGGGAGGACCAAAGCGATATTCTGATTTTGGTGTGGTTTCGTCAATAATCAGTCTCGGGTATTGGGGACTCCATGGTAGTTGTGCCGCGGTCGTTCTTGCTAGAACACACTGTAGCGCGCAGGACTACTATACCGGTAAATTTACCGTGTCAGTAATGAATACAACAAAAATAAACTATCGGTGCCGAAGCCAGCTTTCCAGCCATCTTCCGTCCAGCTTATCACATCGTATCCATGAGTTCCTATTCCCCATTCTATAACCTACTCGTACACAAGGGAGGAAAAAAATCAATAATCACAGCCCCACCCCTCTCTCAACACGATACCCCACAATCTCACTCCACCACCCTGCCATCCCTATACCCTAACAACCTCCCCACTCCCCTACCACCTCCAACCTCGACAAACCCATCTTGAAACAACACGTCCAAGTAATGCTGCACAAACAAGTGTCCCTGCCCCTCCCTAACCAAGACCCTACCAGCAAACTGGTTCCCCCAGCCCTCCGCTACCTCGGTAACATCCCCACTAGTCATGAATCCCAGTATTCCGACCCTGCTAACGTACTCCCCGCGATTCGCGTAGTGTTCAAGGTACCGCAGCGCACCGGAGTTCGTATCGCCGTGCCGGTAGAGTGGATTATTGAATGTATTCGATGCGTTGCCGAAAGTGTAGACTTCCAGGCGGGAGAGCAGGGACCTGGGTATGTCGGCGTAGAGCATATCCAGCACCAGCGACGCGATGAGCGCTCCTTGAGAGTGCGCGAGCAGGACCACCTTCTTGTGCTTCGGCTTGGAAGCGGGGATGGAGGCGGAGGAGGAGGGGGAGGGAGGGACGGATTCGAGTTCCAGCAGCGCGGTGCGGAGGTTGTGATATAAAGCGCGTACGCAGGTAGAACTGTAGCGTAGGTCCCGCTGGATAAGGCATTGCAGTAGGTCGAGTACCAATCCATAACTACACCCCATCCCCCACGCCCTGTCAGCCAACGCACACCAACCCCCCTCCCCCATCTTCACCTGCACAGAGAAAAAAGCGACACGAACCTTCGGTTATGCACACCCCAAATCCTCCTCCCAAACCGCCTCTCAGCCTCTTCAATATTAGTCTTCAGCCAGAACTCACCCGTCATAATCCCGTTCACAAAAAACCACTTCTCGTCCTCCGCCTCCGCGTCCCCGTGCACGTATTGTCCACTACTAACCACAACATCCCCGGCAAATCCATTCAGAAACTTGGAGAAAACCAATGTCACTACCGTCACGCCAATGAACCAGCAGAGCCACACCCCGCCAGGTACGAGTAACCATATAGGGATTAGCAGCAGGGAGGCGAGACCAACGAGGATGAGGATTATGCCCAGGACCATGGAGGAGATGTTGCCTAGGGAGTAGGGGTAGAGCTCCGCGCGCGGGTTGGAGGTGCGCACGGGGCGGATTATACCCAGCAAGGAGGGGAGGTTAGAGATTAGGACATAGAGGTCTAGGAATAGAAGGTAGGGAGGCGGGTAGCGGGTTGGGGCGGGGAGGAGCAAGGGGGTGTTGGCTTGGGTGTCCATCAGGTTTTCCTTTTTTTGTTTCTATTGGGAGGAAGACTTCCTTTTGGAACTCCGAGATATAGTACGTTATTTTATAGGTAGAGTAGGTGATGGTGATGTGTTTGAGCGCTTTTATCTAGCGGTGGGGATAGAGCGGGGTTGGAAGTGGAACGGATGGGATCGGATCAGCCAAATCTCAGCCTCACCCCCGTTTATCATAAAAATGAGTTCAGTACCAGTGTATTACCGGTACAGTACTGTGTTCTCTTGTGGGAAGTCCCGTTTGGAGCCTGTTGGTTCGTCCTCTAATGGCCTTAGGCATCACATTCCCGCGGGATTCAGCCTAGGGTGGAGTTCTCATCATTTTTTTGTGGCCTCGCTTCTCGACTGGACTTGACATCCCCCACCCTATCATTCCCAACGGTTTTTTTGGTTGTTGCACTGAGTGATGAGCTATGATTGATTACATTGAAAATTGTGCGAGTCATCATGAGCATCATAACATATTTGGCGGTACCGGTAAGTGCAATGTTAATAGTAGGTGGTGCGGCCCGTACTGTGGGCAAAGTTAATTTCCTAGTAATTATTTCCAAAAAGATTCTATGATTGAGCGAAGGTCAGCATCAGTCCTCACCTCGCTCCGATGAACTATCTCCCCTGCAGTGCGGAATTACCGCCCCCACACATGCATACTATGATACACGGCTCCCCATATTTATCAGGATTAAAAACTAAACTTTTTATTGTCTCTATATTTGGTTCATAGCAGTTCGCGCAGGTCAGTTTGTATGAAATTGCCGACAACGCACATAAGTTAGGCCGGGTTTGTTCGATTCAAATTCCCCACCCCCCTCCACCAACCACCCAGACGAAAAAGAAAGTATCCTCCATAGAATAAAAGTATCTACACCCAAACTAGCCTCCCAGGTAAAGCAAGTACAAGAAAGGAAGAGAAATGACGCATGCTACCAGGTACTCCCCATTATCAAAAAAGTAAAAAGTAGGCGATAAGATATAATTCAAGGGCGACAGCAAAGTAAGCGAAAAAGTATTGTATGATTGGTTAAGATAGCTCAAGACAGGTCAAAGCCTGCGTTTGAATTGACGGAGTAAAGGAGTTTTTCTCGAAGGATTCTGGGATCCCTGTAACGGGGGAGCTTGAGAAGGTTCACGCAAGTACCTGGTTTTGTTAGTGCCTGAAGTGAAAATGAATGGAAAGGTGACATACTAGCACTACAAAGTCTTCCCTGGTCTTCACCCGCATCTCTGATACTAAATCTTGGCCTCAAAACTCCGAAACCTAATAGCGGCGCCCGAGCAACACTAGTAACAAACTTCAAGACCTTCCTACGTTCTTCATCGCCAAGGGAACGCATGACCTCCCAGAACAGCCGTATGCTCTCGTGCTCAATACCATCCTCGCCGAGTTGGTAAACACCTCCATAGATAGTATTTCTTCTCAAATCTTCCACATCAATCGGCGTATTGATATCCCCACCTACTAGAGTTTGTAGCTCTGATTGATTGAACATGGATAACCAGCTTGGGTTTATAATCGAGCTCAAGCCTTTCAGAAAGGCCGAGGTTTGGATATGTGCCTGTACGGATAGTCGGTATCGGGAAACGAGGTGGACGTATTCAAGCTTGTTTGCGTTTGTAACTGGAATTGTCTCCCCACCAGGTTTAAGTTCCACTGTGATAGTCTTGTCGTGTCTTGGAATCCGAGAACTAATGGTGAAATTAAGCCCGAAGTCGGATTCGACATCGCCTGTGTAATTCTTAAGCTTCACAAGTCCTCGGTAGAGGCCCTCGTCAAGATCTCGGAGGTCATTGACACCAATGGCCATGCTAGCTCTAGAATCTGAGGCTTGTTGGCTCCATTTGAGGAGGAAGAAGGGGGCGAAAGCAACATCCACAAGAATTCCTTCGTAAAGACACTTCCCGAGCACTCTTCCAAGAAATTCGTACCTTTTCGATAGTGGCTTAACTTCATCCCCGATCACCTCTTGATAGGGGCCTCTTGTCTTAATAAGCTCCTCCTTGAGTTCCTCGATGCTCGTCGGGTTGGGGTACAACAAATGCTGCTCATTCTCCAGAAATAGATTCTTGCCTAATTCGGTAGCGTTCTCGGCTTCACCATCGCTAGGTAGATCCGTATCATCACCATTGTGGGCCTCGGGATCAGCTCCTGCGGTGGCACTTGGTGTAAAAGCGTCACTACATACGCCAGTCAAAAACTCCTTTGTGACACCACCACCGTCAATGCCAGCTTCCTCAACACCAAAACGATCTATAAAAGTGATTTGAATAGGCTCCTTGAGGCCCTCTCCTAAGGGCCAGAACTGTTCGTAAGCGTCCTCAAACACCCTATTCCTCCTAATCGTCGCATGATGTTTATTAAGGCTATCCCGGGCATCGCCAAGTGCACCGCCAAGTGCATCGTGTATTAGGGAGGGTGGCCGAGAGTTCTGCGAGAGCATGGCAGCCCTCCATTGATCCGGGTCAACAAATCCCCCGCGGCGCCGACGTTGGTCACCTGAGACAAATTCCCGGAATACTTGCACCCTAGTAGCAAAGGGAATAAAGAAGGGAAGATTTTGAAGTATCTCAAGGCGCGGGGTGATGGCTGCTAAGTAGAGAGCTCGCTGCCTTTTGCGCTGTGTCCTGTCCCTCGATTCCAATTGCAGATTTCGTTGCTCGTGCGGACTTAGCGCCGCAACTGCTGCTTGATCATATTGACGTTCCGGTTCTTCGTCATCTTCCCCCTCACTCTCCATCTTATGTCTATTTTCCTCTTCCTGCACGACGGCAGGAATAAAGCCCTCGATGTTGAAGCCAGCGGCGGTCATAAGCCAGTGGTTGGATGGGAGGAATTTTCGTCTCGAACTATTTCACGCTTATTAGGAAAGCTATTAATTTATGTAAGGGGGGGTAATACTCTCTAGCATAGATGGCCTTCAAGAGTCCTGTCACAGCAGTTTTCAAATACTCAACCTCCCACACCTGATTTGGTTGGTCTTTGAAAAAGACAGCTCCTCCATCGGACCTCTGCTTGTCCTCTCCCATTATCTCCCCTCCCCAGTAATACATCGCAAAGGCCAGGTTCTTGAGAAATACGCTTAGATTTTCTACATCCTCTAGCGGTAACTGACGGGCCTTTTTCTCTGCCCTGCTGCGCGCAAAAAACTCGTCATCGTCCATAACAAGCAGCAGGAATCCATAGAGTTCAATGAACAAAAGAATCAAATTCCATTCACCGTTGTCGGAATCTCTTATAGAGGGGCCATCGGTGGATAAGTTCCGTTTTCTCAGACTGCTCACGGCTAACTGAATATCCTTGGCGACTCCCAGGAACAACTCTGATCGCCTGACGGCTGCCCATAGATATCTCAACACAGATACCCCATCCTTAGTTTCAGCAAGACAGAGCCACATACACACTTCTTGTTTCACGTTCGGGAATACCAATAGTAGGGTCAGTGCAAATCCGGCGAGCATTTTTGTATCGCGGTCGTCACTGCTGGGGGGACCTGCGAGTGAGAAAATGGATGTAATGGAAGGCTGCTGGATCAAGCTTTCAAGCCTAGATTTGACAAACGGCGGTAATGGTTGGTTTTTGTTTTGATGGGGTCTCTCCCCACTCGAGTCGTCTTCGTCTTCCTCATCACCTTCAACTCCCATAGATATATCTACCACTTGGATTCTCTTGCTCGCCTCCCTAGCAACCGAAGAAAGGAGGAGGGACATGACATGAGTATAGCTCTTCTCCTCAAAACCCCTGCTGACTAATGGTTTATCTCCAGTGAGGTCAATCACTTCGCTGCCGGACATGCTGGGAGTAAAGTGAATTATGTAGGATAGCATCCATAATTTCTCTTCACCCGTAGCAACAACCCATTGCCCCGGGGATTCAGACATGGCCTTAATGAGCTTCCCAAATCCTACGGTCTTCTTTAATCGCTCAAAGCCGCTATGCTGAAGGTGCTCCGGCAAGTCGGGGGTCACGAGGTAGTTGGCCGCAAAGTCCCGATGTATCTCTGCATTCCTCTGTCCATTTTCCTTTCCGACATGTTGTAAAGGAGTCAATACAGCGTCTAGGATTTCTTCAGGCGAGGACTTGGAAGAAGCGGTGATTCGAGAAAGGGCCTTGTAGTATGATGCATCAACAATTCCGGGAAGTTCTACCGCTAAAGAAGGAAGCACACTTAGGGAATCAGCGGTCAGCACCTCCTCCTGAAGCACTTCTATCAGCAGCTTCCCAAATTTCTCCATCATTAGGGTTCCGTGACCATCTACCCCTCGTGCCCTAGCCCCTAAGCATGGCCTGTTGGAAGCTTGAGATAAGTATTGAGCCATGAAGAGAACTAGAACTTTCATTCTCAGAAAGTCTCCTGAATCTCTCTTCCGCCACCTCCCGGGCCTATGCCCTCTTTCGTAAAATGCAAGAAATAGTGTAACCCCGTACTCAATCCGCTTTTTCGAATCACTCGCTTGCGCGAAATCCCCGCCAGCACCTCCTGCGAAAACATTATCCCACTCTGTTCTCCATATCGCCCTCTGGGCCTCGGCTTCTCTCCGACCCCTCCAAACACGTTGCACCGTAGTGGCGGCTCTTAAGCGTTGACGCGTGGCTTCACGTTGAGCTCGCTCCTGCTGGGCATGAAGAACTGATGCTTGGGTAGCTGGAGCCCGGGAGAATTGCGAGGTCCGAGATGGAGCAGCGGCAGGCTTCCGGCCGGAAAGGTTAACAATCCGGTGTTTGCGTGACGAGCCCGTGAATGTTGGGTACATTTTTCCTTTTTCGAAGAGGTCAACAACCGTACCCGGATGGTATGGATCTGCGGGACTCTCCAGGAAATACAGGTGTTCTATTGATCCGGGGCTGAAGTTTGATTGCGTGAGATGGAGTAGTGGAGAGTTGAGAGCAAAAGATGAGGAATGCAGGATGGATGAAAACTTGGGTACTGGTGTGGAAGAAGGCGGCGAGATAGAGTAGCTGATAGAGTGATAAAAATGTTTTGCCGAGGTTCTGTTTCTGTTTCTGTAGAATAGAATAAGTGTAATGGGATCGAGGGTGGTGATGTGGTGATGGTGGGGGAAGGTGGGAGGTTTCTCCGAAAGCCTGCTTTCCTACCGTTCCCGGACATAGATATGATACCGGGTCCTTTGACCCTTAAATCCAGCGAATAACAAGCAAGCAACTGGAAGATTACTCAGCCTCTCCCTGCTGCTTGCTACTTGTAGCTCTCTTGGTTAGACTAACTAACGGAGAGGAGGAAGGAGCGGTGGACAAGTACGGTACTGTACAAGCCGAGCCGCTATCACACCATACAGTGCAGCGAGCCTTCCATAATACATGGTCTACGAGTACTCGAGTACTCGTACAGGTGCATGACCCTCTCTTACGAGTACTGTACACTTAGAGACGAGCACTCATCATAAGATGCGACCAGATTATTTGTAAGGGTATATTTCTACTCGAGTGGACACTTCAGCAAGTGGGATACTGGTAGTCTTTCTGTCGCCAAGTAATCTTTCAGTGCGAATTTAGTCTGAAGAGGTTTCCTCTTTCTCTCTACAAGTCTTCATGCGTATTTTACCCTCAATTTTACAAGTACAGCAAGAGTAGTGGCTCAGGTTTATACAAAAAAAAAGGTTACGGTCACAGTAATTTCGACGAACGAGCAAAAGCTCGACAGATTAGTGCTCACACCCGGGTATGAGAGTATTTGGGGCACAGTTTCATAAGTCCTCGCGCAGCGTGTTCAAGTACTGGTACAAGTAATCTCCGCTTCGATGCTTCCAGAATAACGCATCATCTACTGAATTTTCCTCTCATTGAAAATTGCACTTTTCTCAATACCATGTTCAATTTACCGCACTCAACGAAATGCCGAGACAATGCCTAACCATGCTGGAAAATGGCATCCTCCAGTGAGGGGTATCGAAGTAGAGCACCATAACTTCAGGTCCTCAAGTCCGGTTACATCAGCAAAAAAAAAAAAACCGAAGTATGATGTGCAGGCTATAACTAATGCCCTGAGGTAAAGATTTGATTGCAAGGTTAGATCATGAATTCATAGCACAGAGTAGGGATCAGAGATTAGAATGCAGTCGTACTGCATTTGCAAAATGTCTACTAAAATTTTGTCCAAATAAAAGTGATTAAATTCAACAAAATAGAGAACTAAAGAACTACCATATTTACTCGTATAATCCACTATCTCCACCAGGTGTCCAATCTCCGTGTGCACAGACAAAAACCCCTAAGAAGGATTAGTGTTTTCCTTACACGGCAAAGCCTGAGGGCACTGACTGTATTGGATCTCATTAACTGGTATTCGCAGTTCTGTTATTCTACCAAACTAAACCCATCGTGGGCACAGGAAGGGATTGGCGGAGATAGCCTTACATACGGAGATGATGGATTATACGAGTAAATACGGTAGTATGATACACATATTATAATCATTATTGGTTGTTACTCATTCTAGATAGACTACAGTTTTCAGAGTTTTATAATGTTCTCTATACTTATGTAAAGCTAAAGATACCAAACTGCAAGTCTAATTAGAAAACACAGAAATAGCTGAGGTATGATAAAAAAGAGCCTGAATAAGAAGTACTTCCTCATATTCAGTAAGAATACCTCTGCACTAAGCTAGTACTTTGTGGAAATCCTTATACAATATTGAGTTTTTAAAGATAATGTCTAGAAAGAAGTAAAAGAAAACAAAAAAAAAGAGAAAAAAGGTTAGAATATAATAAAGCTGCTATTTGCACTGACAAGAGTATCAACTAGGTCAGTTATAGTATAAATTATTTATTCTAAACTATACTCAGTTAAGGTATAATACTAAACTCAGTATATTATCTTTATCATATTTTTATTATTCTAAGGGTGCAAGGATCTCCTATTAGATCTTTCTAGTCTTATAATTATATACTATTGGAAAATAAGTCTTGAGTAAGTTTGAGGTATAGAGTATAGAATATTACATCCAATTGGTACTCATGATATCTTTCATCAAATTTAATAGATAGTTAAAATCTTACTTGAAAGAACTAATTTCATACAAGGTTGTAAATCTATGTATATATATATATATAGATATATTTTGTTATTAATGTTATTTCAATATTTCTATATAAAGTGAGATATATGAATTACCTCTACATTAGTAATATGGACTCTAAACTATTTCTTCTATTAAAGTTTCTGCACCTAAAAACAAAAAAAAATATCTTTAAAGGAAAAGACTCACTATAGAAGTCAGGTGTCCAACCCATAGATCTTATACCTTGAATATAGTAGGATTTCACTTTGAACTACATCAGCAAAAGATTATCCTGTATCTGATACCCAGGCACAGCATCTAGATGCATCAAGTCTCTCAGTTATATTCCTTGTGTTCTGTGTATCAGGAGTTGTCTCCCTATTACACCAATGTCCTATGCATCCTGTGTTGTAATACTCTCTTCACTTGTATCATCCATGTTGTTTCTTAGAGCTTCGATGTCTTAATTGTGCTTCAGGTACATCATACTAATTGTATCCTCTGGGTGCTCCACTCCCCTGGCTATTCTATCCTTATTTCTGGATGTTTTTTCCATATTTCTAACTTTGTAGGCATGCTCTGGGCATCCTGATTCCTGGGTTCATTGTGTCTCATTCTTCAGAACTATGCTTTGATAGTTACAACTGCATCTTGTATGCTCATAAACCTTCTTTTAGCCTACCATGAGGCTAGTAGCTATACTCCTCCTAGGACATGTATTCTAACGTCAGTGAGTTGTTCAATTGTCACTATGTAGCTACATTATCTTTGCTCCCAATCTGCCATGCATTCTGACTATGTATAGTCTAGTAAGCATTGAAGTGTAGTCTTGTTTCTAGTTTCCGGAATGCCTGCTGGGTTGTCCCATTACCTCAGCCTTCCTGCTTATGAGGTTTTTATTATCAGGATTACAAGATGACTAATTCTCTTAACAAATCTGTCATCATATATGCTTTTAATTAATATCATTCTTAATTCTGCATTCAGTTTACTATATAATAACTTATATACTAGTAATACAAAGCCCTCATGTATAGTGTTATTTCAGTCTGAATCTGTTCAGATCTCTCTCTTAAGCCAGTATAGTAGCAGAGATTTGGTTGAGCACCATTTTATACCACTGTGGTAATAATCTTTGACCAAATCTCAGATTCTTTTTTTTTCTTTGGAGATGCTGAAAACCTCAATGGGACACTATGGCCAATGACAATGAGGAGTTAGGAAGCTGCTGTAGTTTGTTCAAATGATATGTCAATATATTGCATTGAATATCAGTAAATAAATTTGACTATTAATAAGCCATCTCCAGTCCATCTCAGGGATCAGATAGGCCAGGCCCACATTGGTACCTATGTCTACTACTGTAAACCTTCAGGTCTCTGGCAGCTGCACAGTGACAAGATCATGTAACTCTGATAGGCATCTCAAGTTAAGTATGTTTAACATTTGCACACATGCCAGCAAAGTGTTGAAAATGGCTGCTCAAAACCCCATGACCACCTCCCACCACCCAACATACTCAGAACCTGTCTGACATGTTTGTAACATGCGTGACATGTTCTGAGTATTCTTGGCATGCCATTTGTACCGCTATCTATTATTTATCCGCCCGTCTGTTTATACCTCTCTGTTCATACCTCTCTGTTCATCTATTGAGTTGTTTATTTATTTGTTTACCCACTTGGTCTCTGCCAGTATATCTGCTTATAAGTGCCACTACCTTTATGTTCACCAACACATCTACTCGCTAGTCGATTCCCTTCTGGTTATTTTATTGCCTGTTTATTCACCTTTCTACATATTGGACATACATTTCTGAGACTGGTCAGTTTTCATTCATTCTTATCTTTTTATTTTCCTTCAGCCACATGCTTTGTTGTTGAGGATGTTCTCATTGTATGGTTTAGAAAGGTGCTCCTGGTGGGGAAGGATATGAACGTTGTAGTAGTTATCTTCATCCAGAAGTTGTTGTTCTTGTAATTCTTTTATTAGTGTGCGAAGCAGGATGAGTGCACCAAGTAAAGGGAAGTGCAGAAGACAGAGGGAGTAAAGAAGGCAGTGCAAGCATGGGAGATAGCGGGAGAGCACGGAAGGATATTGGAGAGTCTTAGCATAGTCTAATGTTAATTCTTTTTTGTGTTAGAACAAGAGTACATGAGATGGAATAAATAGAAGGGTATTAGAAAACTACTAAGTGGTGGAGGAGAAGAGAAGAAAGGAGGGAAAGTGAACTTTGTGGATAATTAACCCTAACTTTTCCGATAATAAGTTGGTTGAAAAATTGTAAACCTAGTGGTTGTAAAAAAATAAATTTCAAAAAGAAAAAAAAAAAC